CAATAGTAGTTCTTTTTAATAATAAAGATATTTTTGTGGAACTGTAATCAATAGAGATGATTTATATAATGTTTCTATTGATGGACTCCTCATCAACATAAACAGCAAGAAGTCTAAAATAGATGATAAAACTTATCTTATCTTTAGCATTATCGAAACAAGAATAACTAAGTTGCATAAAGAAGGTTACTTTGAACCTTTTTGATTATGAATCATATGAAACTTGTGAATCATGTTTAATGGGTAAAATGACTAAAACACCCTTTCTGTGAAAAGGTGAAAGGTCAAAAGAATTATTTTAACTAATACATTCAAATGTATGTAGACCAATTACTACCCAGACCATAGGTAGATATGAATGTTTCATTATATTTACTGATAATTATACTAGATATGGTTGTGTGTATGTATAACAAAATACAAATATGAATTTTTTTGAAAAGTTCAAGGAATTCAGAAATGAAGTTGAGAAACTAACTAAAAGTATTAAAACACTTCAATCCGATTAAGGTGGAAAATACTTAAGTTAAGCATTTTGAGATTATCTATCAGAAAATTTGAATCATACCTTATTAGATATAGTACGACCCATGATGATTCTTGCAGAATTTTCTCCTAAGGATATGCCCTTAATAATATGATATACCTTTTAAATAGAGTTCCATCTAAATATGTTGATAGGATTCCATATAAGATGTGGGGCCAACACGCTTATGTGAAGCATTTGGGATCTGATAAGCTATGAGCTAAATAAGACAAATGTAAGTTTGTGGGATATCTAAAAAAATTTATTGGATATTATTTTTACCATCCTATTGAGAGAAAATTGTTTATCTCACAACATTCTACCTTTCTAGAAAGAAAATTTATCCTTAAAGGAAGCAGTGGGAGCCAAGTAGAACTTGAAAAGTTTAGGAACCTCAAACATACATTAAAGATAGAACTAGAATAAAAGATTGTTACGTTAGATGAACAGTAAAAAAACATTGGTTAAAGAACCACCGCTTAAATCTGTTTGGATGAGTCGTACTCCTATAAAGGTTGGGCCTTCTAGTGGACACTCAAACCTGACAAATATAAGGGAAAAATATTTGACATTTTACTTGCAATTGTAGCATATTATGATTATGAAATTTGTCATATTGATATCGAAAATGCATTCTTAAATAGCAAATCTAATGATTTTTGAATTAAAAGAATTCCTAATATAATATGCATACTGCAAAAGTCCATTGGCAGACTTAAGCAAACCTTTGCGATATGAGAAAATCCGTTTTAATGAAATAATCAAATAGTTTGATTACATAAAAAATGTGGATGATCTTTGTGTGTATAAGAAAGTTAGTGGGAGCGCAATTATATTTCTTATTTTGTATGTTAATAACATATTAAATAGGAGATTATATTCAACTACTCTAAAAATTTGGTCATCTAATAACTTCTCCATTTGAGATGCGGCTTATATACTTGGTATTAAAATTTATAAGGATAGATTCGATAGGCTGCTAGGATTATCTGAATTCACATATATTCATAAAGTGTGAAAACAGTTTAGATGGAGGAATCCAAAAGAGGATACCTATCTATATATCAATCTGATTCGGATGAAAGTCATTGCACTGTTATTAAAACTATCCTTGAGGATTTAAAAATAAGGATACTTTTCAGCTATGGAGAAACTAATGAACTAAGAGTTCATTGTTATTAAAACTATCCTTGAGGATTTAAAAATAAGGATACTTTTCAGCTATGGAGAAACTAATGAACTAAGAGTTCATGGATACATTGATGCCATAGGATAAAACATATGGGTAATTGGCTTTAGTACAAGCGGGAGATTGTCAGCTATATGCCCTATAGCCAATTTGATTGGTTATATTTTGGAATATAAAATTTCATGTAATAAATATTTTATTATTAATAAAAGGCATTTATTTATCTTTTATATATATTCTATTGATTGAATCTTGGTAAAAGATAAAGTCCATGAGAGAATATTGCTTTGTAAAGTAAATTATAATGTACTTATAATTATGAGTTTTATTTTGTATTAAAGCAATGGCTTTAAATATTCCTAGTTAATATTTTCTCATTATTGGATGATGATTAGAGTTGTTGAGACCGGTATATATTATGTTCTTTATTTAGGGAAGCAGTTGTTCTCATAAGCTGAGATATATGTTATATCTAGAACTAATATATAGGTGCTTGTTATTTAAACATATCCATTGAATTGACCTGCATGAGAATTCCATATAGAGAGTTACCTGTGTCTATAGAATACTCAAGTGATGGTTGTGTGAGTGATCCTTTGACTTGAAATTACTAATCTATCTTATATGGGGATGACTATATTTTGATTCTTCATTCACATTACTCATTCATGAATAATGAGCAATGATTTATTGGACATAGTAAGAACTGTATGGAGATAATTGTGTAATTAAGAGAGGATTCATCACCCTGGGTAAATCAGAAAAAAATGTTCTAATTGTTTCTCTATTAGTATTGATTAAGAAATCATTGCGCAAGGTGGAATGAAATTAACAAATTAGATTTGGAATTTCATTGAAATGATCAATGGCTAAGATTAAGATAACTAACATAATTTAGTAAAATAGACACACTCCATGCCTAATTACTAAATCAAAATATTAATGATAAAGGGATATTAATTGCACTGATAAATCATGCACTGAAAAGTTAAGTCAAACTACTTTGACTTTTCAAATATTTGGATAGTCATGACATGTTGCTAGATAATGCACTTGACCTTCAAATATTAATTAATTAATTAAATTTATATTTGTTACCAATATATTTGGAACCTAGAAGGTCATACACATAAGAATGAATATGAGAAAGTGAAAACAAGAAATCAAATCAAGTATGACTTGGTTATAAATAAGTTTTGGGATATTAAGGGCAAAATTGTAATTTATATTTAATTATAATTTTACCAAAATTATTAAGTAATGTTGTAATTTATATTTAATTATAATTTTACCAAAATTATTAAGTAATGACTTAATTAATTTATGTCTAAAATTTATTAATTTATTAAGATAAATTTTAGATTAAATCTAATATTTAAATTATAATTGATTTATTTAAATAGTTAAAATAAATAAACATAGTTGATTAAATTGAAAATCCTATTACTATAGTATTATGATATATTTATTTTAATTGTTTAAATAAATAAATAAACACATATATACTTTAGTTATAATTATTTATTTAAAAGATATAAATAATAATAATAATAATAATTTATTTATTTATGACTTAGGGGTTTCATATATATAAGGTTTAAGAGACAGTTTAAAAATTGTAGTTGTTGTTCATAATCACAAAACTAAACATTATGTCTAAAATTTATTAGTTTATTAAGATAAATTTTAGATTAAATCTAATATTTAAATTATAATTGATTTATTTAAATAGTTAAATAAATAAATTGATTTAAATTTGAAATTCCTATTACTTATATGTATTATTGATATAATTATTTTAGTTATAACTTTAGTTATAATTTATTATTTAAAAGATATAATAAAAAAAATAATATTATTTATTATGACCTAGGGTTATATATATATAATTATATATATATATATATATATATATAATAATATAAATATATAATATGTTAAGAGACAGAAGAGAGGTAATAGTCACCAAAAATAAACATAGAGGCGTACGATAAGCTAGCACCATCATATGCTCTAATTTTTCAATCCTCTAAAATGAGTGTTTTCAATTGTCCATTATATAATATGTTTAAGAGACAGTTTAAAGATTGTAGTTGTTGTTAATAGTCACAAAAATAAACATAGAGCGTACGATAGCTAGCACCATCATATGCTCTAATTTTTCAATCCTCTAAAATAGTTTTAGAGTTTTTCAATTGTCCATTCGTGTAGATACTATTAGAGGCCGGACAATTGAACAGCTTATAGTTTGCAACAACTTAGCCGCGTAGATTGAAGTTTGAAGAATCTGCAAAAAGGTATTCTTCTAAATAATTTTATTACTTTAATCGTTTAAACGGATCTCTGTTAGAATAATTATTTTGCTATAATTATCTTATTCCCCTGCCTATTGTTGATATTGAAACCCAACAAAAAAACCTTGAAGATAAATTCTGAATTTTAGAAAAAGTTGATTATTTTATTTCCTCCCCTTTTCCACTGCAAAACAAATTGACTGTATTGAGAGAGAGAGAGAGAGAGAGAGAGAGAGAGAGAGAGAGTTGCGGGTTACGAGCAAAAAGAGAGAGAGTCTCTCAACTGAAGAACGATTTATTTACGTGTTCACTTAGCTAAAAACTAGTTTCAGTGATGATACTAATTATTCAAGCTGAACAAAGAATGATAATTTTAGAAATTTTAAAAATCAAATGTTTTGGAGGAATTATGATTCTTCTATTTCTATTAAACTCGAGTTAAATTAAACAAATGAAGATTTTAGATTATTTTAGATTAGAAAATTAAAAGGACGAGAAGATTGATATAGATCGTATTCGGTAATAACTTTTTCAGATAGCTTTTTGTATGGTCCAAATATCAAAAGTTATTTTTTATAGTATTCAGTAATATAGCGTTTTAATTAACTTTTAGATGTTAAAATAACATTTTATAAAAAGTTAACCCAACTACTCAAATGATTACCAGCTAACAGATCTATAATAACAGTGGCTGTGAAGCTATTGAACAACTCGGTTGAGGGAATGATTATAATAGGAATGAGAATTGAGAAGAGACAGGAGAGAGAGAGCGCTAGTGAGTTTATGTCGATTATGTGCGGTTAATTTATTTTAGGGACATCAACTTTTCGATGTAATTCATTATTAGGAAGTGGTCAAGGGGATTTTTGTACTACAAAATTAAAGTTAGTGAGTTTTATGTAATAAGTTAAAATTTGGGGGTTATAAAGTGATAACCCCTTGAATTGAAGGAGCAGAAAGCCCATATATTATGTTAGATGCGAATTCAAAATATTCTAAAAAGAATTGGACCGTTTAACCAACGCTCTGCATCTTTTAAATTTCAGTTGCTCGTTTTGTTTCTCAAAACACAGCAACCGAGAAAATGAAGCCGCCAAAATCCATCTCTTCCTTTAGACTTGCTTCTCTTCTTCGTCTCCAAAAGGACCCTAAACTCGCTCTCCACCTCTTCCGAAACCCTAACCCAAACCCAAATTCTTTAACACCTTCAAAACCATTTCGCTACTCTCTTCTCTCCTACGACCTCATCATTACCAAACTTGGACGTGCAAAAATGTTCCATGAAATGGAGGAAATCCTCCTCCAACTCAAAGCCGAAACACATTTTGTACTTAAAGAATCTTTCTTTTGCAATATTATTGGCTTCTATGGCCGGGCTCGTCTTCCTGATAATGCGCTCAAGGTGTTTGACGAAATGCCTTTATTTCGTTGCCAAAGAACTATAAAATCGTTTAACTCGTTACTAAATGTGTTCATAAAATGTAAAGATTTCGATAGAATAAGAAATCTGTTTGTAGATATTGAGAAACATGTTAAACTAGACGCTTGCACTTTTAATATATTGATTCGCGGGCTTTGTGCAGATGGGAGGTTAGATGATGCATGGGAGGTGTTTGACGAAATGAAAAATAGAGACCTTGCTCCTAATGTGGTGACATTTGGAACTCTGATATATGGGCTTTGTTTGGATTTTAAGTTGAAAAAGGCTTTCAAGTTGAAGAATTATATGGTTAAGGTCTATGGTGTGTCTGCTAATGCATACGTCTATGCATCATTAATGAAGGGACTTTGTAGGATTGGTGAGCTTAGTTTAGCTTTTAGGCTTAAGGATGAGATGGTTAGGGATGGAGTCAAATTAGATTCTGCCATCTATTCCACTTTGATCGATGGGCTCCTCAAGATTGGAAGGAAAGAAGAAGTTCCTGGTGTTTTGGAGGAAATGAATTCCAATGGTTGCAAGCCTGATACTGTGACTTACAATGTAATGATTAATGGGTATTGCAAGGATAAGGATTTTGAATCAGCTTATAAAATTTTGGATGAAATGATCGAGAAGGGTTGTAAACCAGATGTAATTAGTTATAATGTGATACTTGGTGAGTTATGTAAGGATGGGAAATGGAGTGAAGCAAATGATTTGTTTGAAGATATGCCAAGACGTGGCTGTGCTCCTGATGTTGTGTCATATAGGATCCTTTTTGGTGTACTTTGTGATGGGATGCAGTTCAAGGAAGCAGCATTTGTTTTGGATGAGATGATTTTCAAGGGTTTTGCACCTCATTCTTCTAGTATACATAGATTTGTTAATAGGTTATGTCAGGAAAGGAATGAGGATTTGTTATGGTCTGTTTTGAATAGTCTGGGGAATACAAATGTAATCGATGCAGATTTGTGGAATATTGCCATTGCTGTGGTATGCAAGGGCAATAAGCTTTCTAGCACCTCCAATGTTGTCGATAGTTTGATACTTTCATGAATGAAAATTATGCCAATCAGATTAATTTTTGTTCTGTCAGCAGTTTCTAGCTACATTGCATGCACATATTTGCTTTTTCCTCTCCTTACTATCAATATGCTTGCTTAACTTGTTGTCTAGATACTGTTCTTCACATTGGAAAAGAAAAGTGGATGGTGCATTCCTTACTGAAGATATTGTTATTGCTTGAATGGGATGGAAACTGCTGTGAGGTCTTATTATACCAGACAGTTGCCGAGTTTGGTTAATAGAAGGACTGATGGGCTTTCCATGGATGATATCAGATGATTAATCTTTCTATTTCCTTTTCAAGCTCACGACATTTCTCTCTATTGTAAGAAGCTTTACGATTTCTTATCTGCCTATTTCGGGAATTTCTTGCTGAAGATCTTCAGTTGTCCTATGTATGGTTATAAATATGAAGCCCAACATTCCATGGTAACCTACTTATATATGTGCATTAATTCTCCATATACTCTTACTCAAAGATAACAAATAGATGAAACTACATGCCATTTTCTCTTGCTTCAGTTAATTGCTTGATTTTTGGAAGGCATTTGAGCATACGGACTTGGAATTTTCAAAATTATCTACTATGGCTTTAAAGCAAGCGTGTTGCATATATATGTGGTGTAAGATAAAGCTTCCCATTTCCTTTGCACCATTAATAGAAATTGAAAGAAATTTGAAGCTTAGCTTTGTATGAAGAATTCCAGAAAATAGAAACCTCTGATTCTGAATGGTATTATTTTCTGATTATGCCTTAGCCACGTTGTCATAGGGGATAGATCTAGCTCATGAGTTCCTTTGTTGTTTGTATATGATTTTTCTACTTTAGCTCATTAATTGTACTTCCATGGACATGCCCTTCATATAATTTGATAATAAAATGAAAAAGTTATTCTTGTTTATTCCCAGCATCAAATCAATGTTTGAACATTTCCAATCGCTCTAAAATTATTGAAAAATTGGAGTATTTTTCACAGGTCTGATATGCAAAATGTTCAAAGATAGTGTAGTTTTGGTGCTTATAAAGTACTTCTAATTTCATCTGTTGGTCTTGTTGCAGTTAGGACTTGGGAGAAACATACCCTGCTAAAATTGTTCCGACCACTCGCCTTGTATTCTTTGCCTTTATCGAACTGACAAAGTTGCAATGAAGACATCATGTCTTGATTTCTTGAGAGTCCAGATTTTCTTTTCCTGCAATGTTTCTCCTAAAGAGGTTTGACACATTTTTTCCCATGACATTCCTCTTCTTTAAAGTGTAATCTGCCAACATTTTTTTTCTTTTTTTATTTGCCAATCATGCTCATTGAGCAGTGATATTTTGGTGTCTTTTTCAGAATTGTCAATAAAAAGTCATGTACAAGAATGCTGATCGCATTTTAGTCCAAAGTCCAAATACTTTCTTTTACTCCATTGACTCCTTAAATACTAAAGTTAGGCAGAATTCACTTTCTTTGACTCTTAACACACTCAATAGAGTTAGGATGCTGCCCTTTTCAGGAATGATTTGCATTAATTCAGCTCGAGTTCTTAGTATTCGTCACTTATCACTTTGAGCAGAAAAAAGTGGTTCCAAATTTTATATTCAAATCATATCGTGCATACGAGAGTGAGTTTGAAATTCAAAATGAAATTTTCTCAAATCCATTTTTATGATTCATATCATCCATTTAAATTTTCTCAAATTCATTCTTATAATTTAATAAAGAGTATTGTATGGTTTGATTTGATTCGATTTTGAAAATTTATTTAAACCATATCAAACGTATCGGTTTGAAAAAGTTTAGACCAAATCAAATCTTTATGAGTATCCAAATCCTTGAAACTGTTTCTACAACTTTGATTTGGTTTTAGCAGTTTATTTAGTTTAAAATTTTCTAAAATTATATAGATTTAATCCATAAGTTGAAGTGATAAGATGCACCTGGTGGACGGACTCTACAAGATCGGGGTCCGATTCATGGAAAAGCAATTATAGAGAAGGTTAGTTACAAATTTCAAAAACAATATAAGTCTCATGCCTAAAATGGTACGAGGATACCCGGTAAAATCGGAAAAAAGAATAAATAAACATACATATTGTTAGTAAAATCACTACAAACAATAAAAAATAAATGGAATTATATAATATTAATAAAAATCACTTAAAAAAAATGAAAAAGACAAGGTTGGACTAAAAATTCTAGTCATGTGCTCCTCTCTTATTTTATTTTATTTTATTTCTTTTTCCTTTCTTTTCTGTTAAAATCCTTTTCTTTTAGTCTATCAAAACCTAGCAATCAAGAAGGTAGGTATAGAAATCAAGCACATTGTTAGTTAGGTAGGTCCGATTTGATCCAGTTTTTTTTGCTATAAATAGGACCGTTTTAATTTTTAAAAAAAAAAAGTTAAATGTTTATTATATATACTAAATAGGCAATTGATTAAGACATAAACTACTTTTTTTTTTTTTTAAGTTAAAATGGGAAATATTTTATTATGAAATCAAGAAATCAAGTAGAACAGGAGGTAGTATAGAATCCCAAACTCCCAAGCCAGCTTCGGAATGTGTTCCAACTGCTAACCTATGTGCAGCCACATTCGCAGACCTATAAATAAAATTACATGGTAGTATAGAATCCCAAACTCCCAAGCCAGCTTCGGATGGTGTTCCAACTGCTAAACCTACTGTGCGCCCAACATTTTCGCCAATTCGCAGACCTATAAATAAAATTACATTTAGCGACTGGTATCTCAGACAAAAGAGATCTGCAGTCCTGAATTATCAAACCAAAAGCAAACGAATCATTTGTAGAAACATTGTTGATGGCATTGGCAACTGACTGAGAGTCAGTTTCCAACAAAATATAATTCCATCCGTGATCTTTGATCCAGCTCAAAGCTTCTCGCACGGCGATGGCCTCCGCCACCGTAGCACTGAAAAACCCCGGAAACCTCCATGCTTTGCTAGCAATAAACTCAAAGGCTGAATTCCGAACTATTATGCCAATACCCACATAACCAGTAGCCACTCCAGTTGAGGCATCTATATTCACTTTTAACCAATTAAACGGAGGTGGAGTCCAAGTACGAACAAAGGTGACTGGAGAAGGAACTACCAAACGATGAAGCTGAGCATCCTTCCATGCTCGCCAAACACCCGTTGCTAGTAGAATTACCGCCCCTGGATTCCTGCCCCTGATTCCTGTTTTTCTTTGGTGCCATACCATTCATTCCTAGTGACCCTTAATGCCAACACACCATAGAAATATAATTTCAAGTTCTCCAAATGATATGACGATGAGGCTTGCTGGAAACCACTCCCCACTGAAACCACTCCCCAAAAGACGTAGCCGAAGACCACCGATACCCAAGATGGGAAAGAGTCCAAACCTGTCTTGAAAAAGGGCAGTTGACAAGAATATGAAGAGTTGTTTCAGAGTGTCCAAGACACAGAGGGCAAATATCTTGAATGTCCATCCTTCGAGAGCGTAAATTTCGCCTACAAGGTAGAACATCACATACGGCACGCCAAATGAAATTAAGTGCTTTGGGAGGAATCTTCATCTTCCATAGTCGAGCCCAACATATAGAAGACATAAAATGTGATGCAAGAGGATTATGCAGAAGTAACCTGTAACCACTCTTGACTGTGTAAGTACCTTTTGCATCAAATTTCCAACCATCAAATTTCCAACAAACGCGGTCATCTCCCATCTGATTGCTTAAAGGAATAGAGAGGATACAAGCAATATCTCTTTCATTAAATAAGCGTCTAATTCGCTCAACATCCCATCTTCTGTGCGTAATAAGATCCGAAACCAAGAAAGCAGTATTATTTAGTGGTCTAGGAGAGGAGATAAAAGAACATTCTTCGTCAGGCAGCCAAGGAGAATCCCAAATAAATGTGTTGGAACCACTACCAACCCGCATATATAGTCCTTTTTGGATCAAACTCTTTGACCCCCAAATGCTTCGCCAAACATAGCTTGGGATTTAGCCGAGATCAGCTTTCCAGATAACTCAATTTCGGAAAATTACTTTGCTTTCAAAACCTTTCAAAACGCGTGCAGCCAATGAATCCGGGCTTGCCATAAGCTTCCAGCCCTGTTTACCCAGAAGAGCTATATTAAATTCATGAATTTTTCAAAATCCAAGCCCTCCGAACAACTTTGGGATGGCCATTTTGTCCCAAGCAAGCCAATGAATGCCCTGCGAATAATTTCGCCCACTACCCCACCAGAATTGATTCATGATACGTTCTAATTCGGTACACAAAGTCTTGGGTAACAAGAAACGACTCATAAGATAATTAGGTAAAGCCTGAAGAACCGTTTTTAACAGGACTTCTCTTCCTGCACGGGAAAGAGACTTGAGTTCCCATGAGTTTAAACGCTTCTGCATTCGATCCTTTATATAATTAAAGACCTCTCGTCTATTCTGCCCCATATTTGATGGTAGACCCAAGTAAGAACCTAAAGTATCCTTCTCTGTAACCTGAAGTAAGGAACATATTTGATGTCGGGGGTGCCGAGGAGTATTAGTGCTAAAAGTAATTGAAGACTTGTTGAAATTTATTTGCTGACCTGATTCTGCCTCATACATAGCCAAAATATGTTTGAGAGATTGTGATTCCTGAATTGAAGCCTTCAAAAACAACAAACTGTCATTGGCGAAAAATAGATGAGAAATTAATGGGCCACCCCGACAAACTCGAAAACCACTAAGAGCCCCATGCTGAGTAGATATCTGAATCATGTTGGATAAGCCTTCAGCACAGATGATGAACAAGTACGGGGATAAAGGATCTCCCTGTCGCAAACCCCTAGTGGGAAGAATGGGCCCAAGCTCTCTATTATTCTGCAAAATCCAGTACTTAATCGAAGTTAGACTAGACATGATAAGATTAATCCATAGAGTATTAAAACCCAAATTAGCTAGCATCTGCCGAAGAAAGGACCACTCCATTCTGTCGTATGCTTTGCTAATATCCATTTTGACGGCTGCAGAAAAATCAGAACCTCTAGTCTTCCTGTGAAATGCATGTAAAGCTTCAAAAGCAACAATACAATTATCCTGAATATTCCTGCCCGCAACAAAGGCACACTAGCTTTCTGAAATCAAGAGCGGAAGGATAGTGCGAAGACGATTTGCAAGCATCTTGGTAATGATTTTTAACAGAACATTGCAAAGGGCAATCGGTCTCAAATCAGACATAGACTCGGGGGATGATGTCTTAGGAATCAAAACCAAACTCAAAACCAAACTAGTCTCATTCAGATGAGCAGGGATAGACCCACTGTGAATTATCTCGATACAATTCTGAGCAATATCATTACCTATAACATCCCAGTAGCCTTGGTCAAAGCCGGGATTGAAACCGTCAAGACCTGTGGCTTTGTCGGCCTTCATGTCAAACACAGCTACCCGAACATCCTCAATTGAGTAAGGAGCTAACAAGAACTCATTTTGTTCCTCAGTGAGAACAGGCTGAACAAGATCGGAAACCAATGTAGAGGTGCAATTCTAGGAAGCAAACACATTTGTAAAGTAACGTACCATGAGGTCCTCTAACCGGAATTCAAGTGACACCAGGTTCCAAATTCATCCCTCAGAGCAGAAATCCAGTTTCGTCGTTGTCGGGCTGTAGCACTTCGATGGAAGAAACGGGTGTTAGCATCACCTTCCCGTAACCAGAACTCTTTAGCACGTTGTTTCCAAAAAATTTCTCGTTGTAACAATAATTCCTGATACCTGTTCTTCGCCTCCAAAAACGCCTCAAAAATTGGACATTATCTCCTGCGGTACGAGAACCTCTTCTCTTGTAGCAACCATGACAGCCATGCAAGTCGCAAATTCACCTTTCTGATAATGGCGAAGTTCTTCCCCCCAAATCTCAAGGAGTGCTCTGCACCGAGAAAGCCTTTCACTTAAAGCCAAATTCACCGTCTCCAACCAACAACCCATAATCAGATTCTTACAAGCAGCCTCCCTCCTCCAGCTATTCTCAAAACGGAATCGTCTAGCCTGAGCCCGAGGCACAAAGTGACGTAGTTCAAGGTAGATTGGGAGATGGTCGGATGAAGATTTATCAAGAACCATAGCTTGGGCTTGAGAGAATTTTCGGCGCCAAGAGTCAGTGGCCAAAATACGATCAAGTTTTTCCTCAATTAAATTGCCACTAGTGCGACCATGCTCCCAAGTGAAGGCATAACCAGACATAGGAAAATCATGCAGATGTGCATCTGAGATAGCAGCTTGAAATCCCCAAATAAGATGATTAGGATGAGGTCTTCCCCCTCTCTTTCAGAACGAAGCAAGGATATCATTGAAGTCCAAGGATATCATTGAAGTCGCCTAAACACAGCCAAGGCAAATCACTGTGAGAAGCTAAAACACGAAGTAACTGCCAAGAATT